TTCACAACATGAACACCTTCAACTAACAAAGACAATCCTCATCCCAGATTAGGGGGCAGAGAAAATAATGAGACATGGATCACAGCTAGAAGTTATAGCTCTCTGCTTTGAAAAGAGGGAAAGAATTAATTAATTCTTACAGGACAGGCAGTGTAATTTTTTTTTCCTTTTTTTTCAGTTTATTCTATACTTCTCAGTCTTCTGTTTTTTGGGGCTGTTATTCTTCAATGTCAGCATCTGTCTGAACATGAGTATTTTTAGACTTTTGTGCTTAGGAGAACTTTTTTTTCGACATAAGAGCTAATGGCTGAATACTGATACAAGATGACAAAAGCTGAGCTGGATTTTAAGAGGTCATTAAAAGAAAAAAGTCTTACTTTCTACACTATCAGTTTGGAGTTTTTTTTCAGAAATATTTCCTCTTAGGTTTACAGAGCAGATGAACAAACCTAAAGAGTTTTTTACTGAAGCATGAATAGCTAGTTCAGCTGTGGGAATAAATAATAGTTTAGAGAATCAAATAATCATGAAAATGTCATGGAAAATGAAGGCTCCCAAGTCTGAAACTGAATTAACTTCTGGTTTAGCAATTCTATACCCCCACAGCTCAGAAATTACATTGTGTATGTTCATGCAGATAAATTTGGATATATAATTAGATGTTTCGTCTCTTCATTTGCACATAGAAGGGCTTCCCTACTGGCTACTGAAAAAACATTTGTGTGTGAATTTTAAGACACAAAATTGAAATGAGCTCACATAGGCTGTGGAATCTCCATCCTTGGAGATACTCAAACCTTGATGGGACATGGCTTTCACCAGCATGCTCTGAGTGGTCCATGTTTGACAGAGATGTATTAATCTTGTACCACCCAGGACAGTCAAAATACAGGTTATTATCCTTGGGAAAATCAGGGTAGTGGGTCAACTGAGGTGAATTAAATGTCAGACAGCGTTAGAGGCAGATACTTTGATCCTGAGCTTGTATGTCTCTCCTTCATATCCAGCTCCAGGCCTTCCCACCACCCACGGAATGAACCCTAAATCTCCACAGGCTCTGGAACAGCAGCGTCCCTGTGAGCTCTTCACTCAGTGATCCCTCTGTAGGACGTGTCAAGGACAGGCTCTGGAGGAGAGAATAAGGTTCCTGACATTCAGTTGAGATTCATCCTGTATAAACTGGGAAATTTACAGTGTGGATGCCTATAGCTGAGGGAGTCCCTCCAAAATCTCTTCCCAGTTAATAAGAAATGCAAAATTCCAAGGCCCGACCAAAAAGGGAATCGAGACAAACTGGATCAGACAACCTGGAGTCAGGTAAAAGCTACCCCAGCCCAAACTCCTTGTTTTACAAACTACTACAAGTACCTGCCTTTAAAATGGTATGAAATACTACTGGTACCTGCCTTTAAAACAGAAAAAGTATCCTAAGCAAGTGAAGTTAAAATAAAGTGAAGAATTAATTAACTAAATAGAGGTGATTAAAGTAAATAAAGGAAACAATTATCATATCAAAATAAAAGACAAGAAACATGATTAAATGAGTCTTCAAAAGACCCATGAGAAACTCATGAAAGACATAATATGCATTTACCTGGCTTTTAGTCTTTCATGATTTCATTTTAATTTTTATTCACTACCATCTGATAATTGCAAGAAACAGTTACTTTAACCATAGGCAATTTAAACCATTTTAATTTTTTTTTCTAGGGCCAAGAGACAAAAGAACCTATTTATTGCCTGAGGGGATTTTTACTAAAATGAAAGCTTAATCTTTCATGTTTTTTTAAGCAAAGGCTTTTAAAAAATCATTTCTAACAATGCTGTAGGGAGAGACTTCCATGGGTATGCAAAATTGAAATTATAAATTTACAATTATGAAAAAATTAATAGTTTGGGGGATTGTATTGTCTCTGTTCTTTCTGAATGAATAGTCTTTCAAGCATAAGAGAAAGTATTTAGCACATGGAGGAGAATGAGTGTCCTTAGACTCTCTTGCGGTCAAAGTTATTTAGTCAAAACGGAAGAGGGAAAGATCATTGGAGTTTAATTTGTTTGGAAATCCTCAAATATCAGATGTCCTGTTGGTTCCTCACTTCCTGGCCTGTTTTTCTGTGTTGCCAATGCATTAAGGTTGGTCTCACCACTATGCCCTCTGTACTAGTTTCATGCACTGAGGGTTGTTAAATATTATCTATGTAAAATTAAGCTTTAAGATGAATTTTAACTGAAATAACCACCTTTTGGGGCTCTTATGACACATGTTTACAAAGGACAGAACAGGAGCTCTTGGTCAAAGATCGATTCAGGAGAGATCTTCAGAAGAGACACAGTTATATCTGGGTAGAGACATGGATATGATTTATGTGGCTGCTGCGGTTAAAGGCATACTAGAAACACACACTTATGCCCACCCCTGTTCTGTGCAGTATTCTGCCTTCAATAGCATCAAGCAAAGGATTAAATTTAAGCATCTACCTTTGCACTGCCCTAAATTTGGGCTATTTTCTCAACTGAGAAATATTAATTTAATACATTATCTGGAGACACACAAACGTTTCTTTCTGGGCTTAGTGCAGGCTTTGAAATCAGACAAAATAATTTACGCTTATGAAACACAACAAACTGAAGGGTTCTATTAAAAGAAAACTAGACCAAAAAAATATCCTCAAGGCCTCCAAACATCCACACACTGAAAGTCAGATTTACATGCTTTCTGCCAACGTATCTCAAGCTTTAGTGGCAATACCGTGAGCTACTATGAAAAGCTTTATCAAACTAAATTCATTTTCCATAGAGCAGAGGAGGATCACTGAAGACATTATTCAGGTTTACAAAGTATTTAATAGGGTGAGGAATGTGGAACCAGATAAGGAAGGTTAAAATGAAGAACATTTTAATAAGGCTGCATTTTAGGTTGGTTGTGCAGCATAAATAGGTCAGTAGATCTATTAGATACACGTTTTTCTTTGGCACAACAAAATGTCTAATATTAGAAACAACTGTGTACAGGTACTATCTATAAGACTTTCAACAGTAACTGGCATACTGAATACACTACTTCAAAGGCTAAATGTCCAGAATATTTTGAAAATAACAAATTCAATATGTTAGCCAAAATCCTTAATCTCTTTGGAAAAATGGTGCCTGCTCTACAGTACCACCCTGAGCAATGGAATGCTGATGTATCTGCCCAGCCCAGCTGAAGCACCTGTTTGACCACAGCCTCTGCAGACTTGGACATCAGAAAAAAACACCTTCCAGGTATTTAAGGAGCCTCAAGACCATGTTAAGAGAGGGAACAGCAAGTCAGCCAGGCTGGATAAGAAGACTGTGTTGGAGAAGGAAGGAGGCAAATGTGGACCTTAAGGTTGAATCCAAGCTCTGTGCTGACATGGGCAAGACAAAGTGCCTGACAGGAATGTTCTGGGGAAACTTTGCTGCAGAGCAGCAATGATAAAAAAGGAGGTAATTTCCAGCCCCTCTGCACCACAGCCCTGAACACTGAGTCACCCTGAAAAGTCTTGTCAGAATGTGTCAAGATATGTTGAGTGTGTTTTGGGAGGACAGGCTGCTCAGACATTTAACAGCCAAACTACAGAGATACCAGAGAACATCCATGAAATGCAACATTTTTGCTTCTGTACATGGGTGACGTTTAGACAGGAGTAACGTGGAAACATTGACACCGCGACTTGCCTTTTGCAAAGCGTTAAGTCCCAGCTCCAGGATGGAGGGGAGAGATTGCTCAGGTTTAAAAATATATATATATATATATATATATCAGCAAGCCAAAATTATTTTCACACAACCTGCTTCTCAGAGATGTTGCCAATAAATATTATTTTTAGGTCGAGATGAGACTCGTGGCAGAAATGGGAAAATTCTGCACAAACTAAGTATTAACCTCTGTCCCAAACAAACAATCCATCTGCAATATAACGGGAAGCCTTGGCCAGTGCCAACACCCGGCACCACACTCGGTCCCAGTTCTATTGTGCAGTGAAGACTGTTTTCCTTACTGATGAGCTCAAACCGTCTGCCATGAATTACTTTTTCATGGGGAATAAATGCACACTTAAACAAGATTAAACACAAACGTTCTTTAGTGGTGTCTAAAATAATATGAATGTTTTTTAGAACAGCAATAAACACACTTCATGATGCAAATAATTACACCCTGCAGCCTTTATGTAACGATAAGTGGCCGGATTCTCCACTCAGCTACAACACTGTAAATCCAGAGTAACTACACTGAATCAATAGTTCTCTCTCTCTGGATTCTGGAGATGCTGAAGCGTTACTGAAGCCTGAATTTACCTTGATTTCTCTCTACAGTTTTGCAGACATCAAACAGTCATGGCTGAAAGGCCACATGGTGGTCACGGAGACATTCCCACCTCTCATCCTGTCCCTTTTCCCCCCATAAAGCTGTATTTTGACTGGTCTTTTGCCTGTGTATTTCCTGTGCATCTGATATCACTTCTGTGACTGTATACTCAGGATCAGAAGAAAGCTCAATTGAGCCCCAGCAAGAAAAAGAGATGGAAAAAAAAGGAGAGAATGTCTTCACAAAAATTCATGATGGGTAAAGGCAATTCCCAGCATGTGCTGGGAATCAAAGATCAGTCTCTCAGACCCACCTCAGCTGATTTTTCTGTAGGACAGGAAGAATTTGGTCATGTTCCGAATTCTTCCTGAAAAGTTAATTTTAGCTTAAGTTTCCCATGCAATTGCAGTTTTCACGCAGAGTTTTGTAAGATGGGTCTGTTAGGCTTTAATGGTCCCTGAAATGACTTAAGAAAGGTGAACATGTCCACATTGGACCACTTCAAAAAAGTAGTTATTTGCTTAAAAACAGCTGCAACAAAAATGTATTCAATAACTAAAGGGTCTTCAGAATGCATATGAGCACGGAACCTAAACATACCACGGAATCACCATTTTAACTCTCGTGTTCCCATTTACTCCCACGTTGAAATCAAGCACTCAGCTCTTACCGGGACTTGTGAGGGCTCCCAGAGCACCAGTCGTTGTGGAGAGAGGATTTGCATTGGTGGTGGTAGCTGAGGTCTGGGCGGCGGCTGCTGCGGCTGCTAAAGTTGCCAAATTCTGTAATTGTAAAGCGTTCATGCCTATGTGGAGAAGCAATAGGGTTAATTAAAACATGTAACCACAGTCATCACCATCATCATCGTGAAAATAAAGAGTTAAGTTCAATGAACGTGGAGCTTGGGGTGTGCCTTGCCAAGAAACTCAATTCTTCTCACTCCCAAGACATCTCTATTCTGGAACCACTTCCTTCACTTCCTGAATGTCATCTCTCACTTCTGTACCTTGGAGCTGAGAGAATGCAGCAAAGGCACAAGCCTATGCTTCAGGAAAATTAAACCTGGCCTGTGCCTCTTCTATAAGGGAAGTGTAGAATTAAAAGTAATTTAAACTCTGTGTGAAGCCCAGACGCAATATTATTTCCTGACACAACAGGGGGTGTAAAGAAGATAACCAACGTTTAAAACACATTCAGGACAAGGTCATATAATTGTGATGAACACAATTTGTTTCCCATGTCTCCTCTGAATATAACTCCTAAGGTTACACTGTGCAGTAGCCAATAATTGTGCTCAATTTCCTTCTGATAGTTCATTTCTAAAAACTTATATGAACTAAGTACATCAAATTAGTATCAGCCTGACCACAGAGCCATCACTGAGGCTGGGACTCTCAGGCTCTAAGCTCTGGACTGTGATATCAAGTTACTCAGTCATCTGTTTCTTCATTACTTTAGAAGATGTAGGAGAGATATACCTGCATTTTAGTGAGCACCTTCAAAAATGAAGGCATTTAAATAGCAAGGGCTTTAATTCAGATGGCAAGTAAAAATGACAAACATTAAACAGAAATTAAGTGAAATGAAAAAAAAAAAAAGATGATTAAGGAACAGCCAATGGCATACATTTGCTTAAATCAGAGGGACAGGAGTCTGCCTCTCCAGAGGACTTCAAAAGTACTTACCTTTTACCTTAGACTAGACAAAGTACTTAGACACTGACTCTAAGGTTAAAACACTTCAGTAAGAGACTAAAATGCAGATATATGATAACATTAACCAGACTGGATCTTTCTCAGGATCCTCTGAGTAAGACCAACTTTCCACAGGAGCGATGTTCAGACTGGGTGTTTACATATGGATGTGAGAGAGAGGGTTTGGATGGCAGTGAGAGATCATCCTTTTGGTTTGGACACATGAAGGAGATCTGAGCCTGCTGCTTGAGCCCTCAATAGGACTGACAAAGTGCAAAACCCCAAGAGACTGAAAGACGTTTATTGTGTTCTTGTGGCCCTGATAATACACGTACATGCCCAAAAGGTTAGGTGGTAGGAAATGCAACACCTTTTCTAGACTAGTGATAGAGCTGGGAAGACTGCACGAGTTTTGGGGAATGCCCAAAGAAGGGCTTGAATGCCTGGAAACTTGTCTGATCTTTTGTTCTCAACATTAGTCTACAGGAGATATTACTTCTCTCTGCACCCTCTGTTTCTCAACCAGGGGAACATAAGACTGGTTAAATATAACACTTTCTAAGAATGTTTAAGAAGAAAAAAATGCAAAGAAGGAGAAGTATTTTCTAAGACTTGGGAACTCCTGCAATTATGGAGAGTGATATTACTTTCAAACACATGTGTTGCAGACTCAGGTTGGTACAATCAACAAGCCCCATAAAGAAGAATTCTTACTGTCCCAGTGTGAGGGACTATGATGTGAACCATTATATAAGCATCTATTCGTGAATAAAGCCCCAAATGTTAATACAGCATGTTCCAACAGGCCAGCCAGTCAGCCTTCAGGTGAGCAGCTGGTCTGGCTGAGGTTCTAATGTCTGTGCCTCAGTCAATACCCAAAGTCAGCTCAGATCGTGTTTTTGAAAATGTGATACAATGACAATTGTAGGAGTTATGGTTTTAGTGGATCCAAGATACAGCCCTTCGTAGTCTGGAATCTGTACAACGCGCTTGGAGGAATTACGTGATCAAAAGCTCTTGCAGGTTTCTTTTGGAAGCTAACAACCATCTTAAAAAATAAGTTTTCTCTCAAACACTACCAACCCAAACAATTTTGCAAGACAGAGTTCAAATTCCAATGTTGTGCCCAGGTGGATGCAACACAAAGGCCATCATTGCCTCATCCCATAAAATCTTTTTTTTTCTTTTTTTTTTTTTAAATATAGTGGGATGATTCCTTTGGGAACACCAGAGGAACCCATAGATTTGACAAATGAGTTCAATGCCCATGAAAGATGAATGAACAAGAGCTTGGTGGTGACAAAGTTGTCTCCCCATCTAATCTGTTTTACTGTAGAGGTGACTATAAGACACTGGCCACAAAACAGGTCTGCAGATGTTACAGGGTGCCTGTGGGAAAAAAAGACTGCTTGCTGTTGTCACACTTGAGTAACAGCACCCAAATGTGACTGTCAGTAAGGGCTCAGGGCACACGCTCACCCAGCATGCTCTAGAGCCGATTTTGTCAACAGTTTTATCACTCAATATGCAACCTCTTTAGGATCCTCTGTCTGCTCAAACAACTAAAAAATAAGTCCTGTCATCACTGTTTCATGTTCCCCAGGCATTTTACCATCTCTGCTCCCTCTTTCTTGGTTTCTCCCATCAACTTGTCAGGCGCGTCAATGTTCCACTTGATAGGACAACCTTGTAGGAGGGAAGCCAAAGGCTCTCAAGTCCCAGTCCCAAAAAGTACTTTGCTTTGAACTGGGGATTTTTAGTTCGACTGAATTGCATGTAAGGTACCGTTCTGTGGGTTGAATCTGCTTTCTCATTCTCTCTCCTTTCTCACACCCTCTTTGCACACATTTCACATCCTACAGTTTTTTCAAAGCAGTCCCAAATCCCGCAACAGGGCCGGACCGCAAATGAGTAGATGGGTTTTATTTGAAAGTGCTGCTCACTCAGCAAATGCAACTCTCTCTGAAGAAATGCAAATTGCTTAACACTGAGGAACAGCCTCATAGGCAGAGCTGCACATGAAAAATGAAAATCCTGCCGTAGAGGAAAAAAACCTTCTGGGTACGGAATAACTCTTGATCTTCATGATGGAGACAATGTTGGGAATTAAAGGGAAATGATTAAAAAAACCAGAATCACAATACAGTTTGATTCCATTTTTAATAACATGTATTTACCAATGCACTATCAGCTTGGCAAATATTCAAGATCGTAAGGAAATTCAACTTTCATTTTGTCATTTGGCAGATTAAAAAAACAATTAAATTATGTACAAAACAGATGCACAGTATGTCTTGCTTGAAACTTAAGGTTTTTTAAAAAAATTATTTATAAGGATAGGGGCATGAAAATTTAATTTAATGTTCACCTTAGGTAATTTTGTGTCTTATTGTTCACAGCAATTACCATAAATCTACATATCAATAAGCGAGAACAGATGTCAGTTGTTACAAGTGCTTGCCAATCAGGCCTGTTAAAAAGTGACAGATGGATGGTGATAGAACATTCTCATAAGGCCTATTAGCACATTCACAGGAAATTTTTGTAGTGCTGCACAGTCACAGATGCAGTTCTGTGAAAACACGGGGAAATTTGAGAGCACGAGATTTACATTTTACAACTTCTTGTGCTGCCTCTGACACAAACTTTCATACAATGAAGCAATTTGCCTCGTTCAGTCACTGCAGCGTTTCTCCTGTGATAACTGTAAATTCAAAATTATTGGGTATTTGTAGAGGAGGGAACAGAGTCACAAGCCGTTCCTAACGATTTCTTAGGCCTCATCAGCTCTTGGGTTTCCAAAACCATAATAAAATCATATTAGGAAATAGCTGAGATTTGCTTGCTGAACAAATTCCTAAAAAAGGAAGGCACTGGCTACATTTAGTGACTACATATGCAGAGAATTTCAAAGTCAGTGGTGATTATCAGAACCAAATCTGATAGCTCATACGCAGTTCCCACTGACTTGACTTCTTTTGCTTTGAAAATTTTATCCTTCTCAATTACTAGGATTTATACCTTCTGAATTAGATACTCACTGCAGCTTAAAAAATGTGGATTAAGGTAAAATTTATAATCTCCAGGCCAAAAAGCAACTATTTGCTGACACTGACATCAGCCATTTTGGATGCTGATGGTAAAAATGTGTGTAAAGGTGTGGAGTGCGATGTTATTCCAGCTATATTCTAAGAATTAAAATAGGAGACCTGAGCACTACCTCCATCAAACCATATATATTCTGCCTAACTTTAGAAAAGCTGCTTAACTGAACAGAGCTTGAGGTACCCCGACCAGTTACAGTTTGATTTAGCAAAGCCCTTAAAACAACTTTTAAGTTCATATTTGATGCTGCCCTGTTTTTATTAAGAGTACATGCTTAAATCTGACTGGAAGTTCACAGGCTCACAGAATGGCTTGAATTGGAAGGGATCTTAAAGATCATCTAGTTCCAACGCCCCTAGAGCCATTTGTTGACTTATGTGGGATTTCAGCCCATTTTCAGGTTACATACGCTATAAACACATCCTGGCAAGAAGTGTGCTTTTCTCAGTTGAAACTGCTCCAATCCTAGTGGGAAGAATTCATCTGATCTCACTTTATCCAAATAGAAGTTACTTGCTTAGACTCTTGCTATAGTCAAAGAAGAGAGAGGGGGTGGATGAATCATCTGATCCTAAAATAGAATCACAGAAGAATAGAATGGTTTGGGTTGGAAGGGACCACAAAGATCAACTAGTTCCCACCCCTGCCGGGGGCAGGGACACCTTCCACTAGACCAGGTTGCTCAGAGCCCCATCCAGCCTGACCTTGAACACTTCCATGGATGGGGCATTCACAGCTTCTCTGGGCAACCTCACCACCCTCACAGTGAAGAATTTCTTCCTAATATGTATAATATTTTCCTAATATCTATAAAATAGATAGATAACCCCAGCCTTTTTGGGTGAATCGCTGCCTGGGAGTGACTCCCTCTTCATGGACAATGCAGGGAAACAGGATGACTACTTTCAAAACTGCTGAGGTTCAGTGGGATGAATTCCTTCTGCAGAGGTGGAAGCCCCTCACCCTCTTTTTACTGGTTATGGGAAGTTCAGACAGAGGTACAGATCCTGTAGCTCGGCCAGACTTGGCCAGACTTCGACGTCGTGCACTTTCACCACCTGAATAAGCATCTCATCAACTGCTCAGCACTGGTTTTACTCTTAATGTGCCTCTCCTTCTCCTGTGAGAAGGAGCAACATGTGGATTGAGAACAGGCTCACTTGCTTCAAACATTTCCTCCCCCAAAAATGCTAAACAGACTTGTTTAAATTATTAGCTAAAAGAAAAAAAAAAATTCTAATTGTATGTGTTAAATTAACTAGGACTTTCAATGGAATTAGTATTACAAAAGCTCAATGTTTTTATTCCCTGAGGTCAGCATTTTCAAAACTGGTAGTTATCTTTAAGAAACAGCTATCTCCCCTGAGCTGGAAACAGTTTCTCAGTGACCTTTACTTTTAATATGATATCCCTAAAGAGGTCATAGCAGGAGAAACACTCCTTCAGTATGGCTTTGCTGGAATGAAGCCATTCAAGAGTCAGAGGATATAAAGGATCCTTGGGCCAGTGCAAAAGTATAGAGCTTTTGTGCAGATGGTCCTGGCTTCCAACTGGTCCCTCCAGATCTACTGAGCCAATCCAACAATTAGAGGAAAATATTCAGAAAGCAGAACCTTGCAGAGTTTCTCTCACCCATATGGTCCTACAGACTCTGCAACAGGAGGAAATCTGGCTTGGGTAGCAGAAGAAGGGTGGAATGGATTGAATGGGGCTCAGAAAGGGCCAGAAGTTCAACCCGAAATGCAACCAAACTGTGAGAGAATTTGGAAAGGACTGGGAAAAAAACCATAGATTGGAAAAATATGAAAAGTCCCAGCTGTAGAGGGTTTAGGGATCTTAAAGCCAAAGAAGAAAAGCCAAAGCCATAGTTTCTCCTCCTGTATAACTTTAGAAAGCAAAAAATACACTGTCTATTCAATGAAATTAAGAGAAATCTTTTGTGTTTTTTATGAGTACTGCACATGGTTTTATGTCCTGAATGGTCACACATATAGAAATATTGTTGTATGAGCCAATATTTATTCCTGCCAAAACATTTGACATTAATTGACAATAGAAAATCTTCATAGATCATATATTTTTTATATATCAAAAACATTGAAATATTTTCTACAGTCACTCTAATAATAGTAAACCTCCCTGTTTATACTGTCTGTATAGTACTTTACAGGCTCATTGGCTTAAATAACTGCCGCTTTTAGGACCTGATCTAGTGCCAGCCAAATTCAATGCAAACATTCAAGCGACATCAATCTCCTTTGAACCAAGCTTTCTGTGCAATTTGTATATATTTGAAGGAGGAATTTCTGTTTGCTTGAGAGGTTGCTAGTGCTTAATGTAGCTTGCATTGTCTTTTAAAGTAAGACAATCAAATCCCATAATGTAATTCATCTACATTATTAGCCTTCCCCAAAGACAAAGTGCAGGCTAGACGCTGAGGCTGGAGAGGCATGTGAGAGGAAACATTGCCTTTAAATTAGCACGAGCAGATATCAGAGGAGGGGAGGAAAAGTGAGGATTTGTTCACTAGAAAATATACACATGAGGATTGCATGTGCTTGCATGTTTTATACAGGACAATGAAGCAGAGTTTGGCAAGGAAGGACGTGTGCCTGCCGTCAAGACCAGGGGATTACTATAATACCAAAGGCAGCACTGCCAACTCTCCCAACTTTATTACCAGCCTCAACATAATACATTGTTTTCTTTGGCTTGACTCATGAAATAAAATGATTTCATTAAAATCTTATTTTTCTATAAAAAAGTCAGAAAAACCTAATCCGAGGATTTAAGCGTGGAACCTCAAAGCTTGGAAAGCTAAATGGCAACCTACAACCTTTTGTCTCTCCAATTTTAGTATCTCAAATTTTAGTTAGAACAGTTTCATGATTTGCTTGGACTTCAGAAAATGCTAAATATATAGCACGGTCAGTGGGCTGCTACAGCTACTTTAGAGTAGTGGTGCTGTGTGTTTAATGTCTGTATCTTACTGGTAAATCTCAATATTTCATTGGACTGTATTCTCACTTCCAAACAAACAGAAAAACTCTTGAATCACAAATGCCTAAAAATCCCACTCCTTTCACCAAAATCAAAGAACCAATGCTTTTGCAACATAAAAACTACTTTAACCAGATAGAGGCATGATATTAGGGAAAGGAAACTTAAAAACTCCACAGTGAAGACCAGTGTCTTCGCTCTGCTAGCGAAGAAAATTGCTTTGATTCAAGAAATAATATCACTGAGCATAGCAAATAATTCTTCACATGTGCAGTGTGGTGTGTGCTGTATCCTTTCTATTTTGTACCAAAACAACACAAGCTTTAGCAATACAAATAAATACTTGCAAGATCCAAAGGGCCCTCATTTTGGACAAGAAATCCTAATGCAGCAAACCGAGACTTCATCAAGATTTAAGCACAAAAGAGATGCTAGAACCCTGGCATGCAAGTAACAGTGGAATTTCAATGGCTCATATGGCTTTTGATCAAACTTCCAGCATCTGAATTCCATGGTATGCAACACCCATCGACTTCAAGGATAAAAGTTGCACCCCTCAAACACAAAGTTTAAAGAACTTGGAAGTGGCAGTGATGGATCTAATCACCTTACTCAATAGTGTCTAGATTTTATTCCCCACTTTTAAATGTTATAATAATAGGCAAACTACATGCAGTATGAAATTACATGTTAGATTAATTTATGTAAAGTGAACCTATACAGCTTCAGTTAAAAAACTCTGGGCCTTTACAAACGTTCAAAGATGGTTTCAGCAGGAAATGCAAGCTCTTGTTGCAGATTACAGTATTTTCTACTCCTTTCACAAAACATAATATACAATTGTTAATACTGGATGCATTGCATGACATAGTACTGCTGATTTTTGAGAAGAGGACATGAACTCTCAGTTCTAACAAGGAAATAGAGCTTAGTCTTTGGTACTTTCATGTAGAGGTGCAGCTCAGAGAACAATTTAGTATCAGTAATTTTACCCTGAACATCAACATTTAAGTTATATGTTTTGGGGGAAACAAAGGACTGAACTTCAAGCTGTTTTGATAACATGAATATAAGATATAAAATACGTTTTTTTTCCAAGAAAGGCAGTCAGTCATTAAATTATCCCATAGATGAGTGCATTAGCAATCTAATTTGTAGTCAAGAAGGTATATCCCTCGAGTAACAATGATGTGCCAACTATGATTTCTTAAGATGACTTTCTCCTAGTCTCAAGACCATATGATTTTCAGAAAATAAATCACAGCCTGGATTGAGAACCCATCTTGAAATTACTTGACTGAAATCCTTAGTTTCAACAGAGTTCTTGAAGACAGAGGTGAATCTACCAGCAAAAAACAGACAACAAAAACTTCTAAGGTGCACACAATGCGATAGATATCACATTATTTTTCCTTGGTGTCTTAATTTTTTCATTTTGTAGACCTAACCAAATATGAAAACATTAAAACACAATCTCTGAGCTCAAAACCACTTCCAAAACTGCCAAGTATAAAACTGTTACTGACCTGTTCTGTTCTGTTTATCATATTAAGATACATATTTTGATGAAAAAAATGCTAGATTGCAAGTGTAACATAATAGAACCAGCAAGCACTGCCAGCACTGCCTCTTCTCTGAGGAAGAGAGAATAATTCAGAGATATTGTCATCTGTAGGCCAATTTATATTGTCAGACAGCAGGTTCACATTAGTCTCTGATGTCACTGCAATAATGGCATAATATAACGATTGAGCAAAGAATACCTGTGGGGTATAGCTATACAGTGAGGTATATCTATACTTGTTAAAGAATTTCAGGCTTCATTCAAAGCAGAACCAGAAGAAGCAAAAGACCAGGATTAAAAAAAGAATGAGAAAATGGTGTTCGTAAAGACTTCTGAATATTTTAGCCCTTGTTTTATGATGATGAAGCAAGCATAATGTTGTATTCCATTGATTCAGTGGGTTCATGATTAAAATAAACTAATGTAGCAATTTAGGGGTTTTGTGATTCTTTTTTTTTTTCTCCCTGTAACAAGAAAAAAAAGCTTTTTAACAGTTCCTCGCGGCAGGCATAATGTGCATCTGTGCTCTGATTTACTGCACATGCTGCCTTCTCTAGCATCATGTTAAGTTAGGATATCAGCATGGTAGGTCACACAGTGGGAGTGACCTTTTGCTAATCACTACACATCAGTTACTACTGGCACACAGCTCATTACTAAGAAACCCTCCAACTAGCTGGCTTTCAAATCCGCTCACACTTTGATTCTTTTTTTCCCCTTTTCTTTCTTTCTTTTTTTTTTTTTTTTTTTCCTCCAGACTAAAGATTATACTTTCACATAAAATCTCTGTTGTGTAATTTCGCCAGCTAGGGTTCCAAAGTCAAAAAGGCACCCAGTTAATTTTCCGTGATTATAAAAGGAGCCTGAAAATTCATACTGAAGGTAGGCCTGTAATCTTGGGTTTCATTAAAAAGGTCAGAACATTTTTCCTCACCACCTATTATTAAAATGTTTGAGGGATGCCATTAATTTGATTTTTCAGGACACAGAAATCTCACTGGAAATTAGAATGTAATCCTGCTGTTGCTTTCCTGACACTTTTCATAGGGCAGGATACGGCTGCAGGGACTAAGAGCTCTCCTGCAATTTACAATTGGTTACTTTGGCCAAATGGCAGGTGAGTAATGCAAGACAAACTGTTTGCACAACCTGGGAGCACTGGGTTTAATTTCAGTTCTGAAAGAGGGGAGAAAGTGTTTCTATTGACGTTGAACCACGAGCTGTCCCCTGCCAATACATCCGCCACATTTAATAAACAACAAGCCCCCCGCCCCCGACAATGTGATTATTAGAGGTACAGAAATTCAACAGCTTAAGAATACAAAACATAGCTGGAACAAAATGAAATGGTTTTTAACTCACCGGCCATTTGCTGAATGCCGCTGAAGGCACCCAAGTTACTGGAGGAAGTTGCTTGCTGCAGAAGCTGCAAATGAACAACACAACACAGCAATCTATCTGACAGTAAAGCAGCAAATGAAGATAAAGCTAAAATGAGCTATCATTTCACATTTGGAGTATTTCTGCTTTCCTTTACATTTATATAGTCTTTTGCTTCTGTCTGCTGTTGGAATGAACATCCCTAGAGTCAATGCTGTAAATCCATATTAATGTCTAATCTCTATTAAGAAACACAGAGACACAAGGGAAACTCAATAACATGGCTGCTTTAAAACAATTAATCAATTTATTCTTTTTAACAACCAGGTGTTAAATCTATTTAAACCAACATAGTGTGACTAATTACAACCCTCTGTAGTCTGGTAGTTACCATAACTCATCTCTGTCAATCACAGTCCATTCTCCCCCACTCCCGTGAATTCAGTTTTTTCTTTATTATCTTTATGAATCAAGCACACAGATATTCATTAGACTGGTATTTGTACATATTAATTTAGCCTATCTCAGTATTAATTAACATACCTCAGTACTAATATATATTTTTAATTGCTGGGTAAATTGCTGTTTATAACACTATACCAAAGCCTTGTTTGCACACAAATTATGTATTTATGCATACACAGTACATATATATGGACACATCTATTTCACAGAATCACAGAATCCTAGAACAGTTTGGGTTGGAAGGGACCTTAAAGATCATCCTGTTCCAATTCCCCGTCATGGGCAGGAACACTTTGCACTAGACCAAGTTGCTCCAAGCCCCATCCAGCTTGGCCTTGAAAACCTCCAGTGATGGTGCATCCACAACTTCTCTGGGTAACCCATGCCAGTGTCTCACTACCCTCACAGGAAACAATTTCTTCCTAGTTTAAACCTGCCCTCTCTCAGTCTAAAGTAATTACCCCTTGTCCTGTCACTAAATACCCTTGTAAAAGGTCCCTCTCCAGACTTCTTGGAGACACCCATTAGGTACTGAAAACTCTAAGGTGTCTCCAGAACCTTCTCTTCTCCACGCTGAACGACCCCAACTCTCTCAGCCAGTCTCCATAGGAGTGGTGCTCCAGCCCCTCGATCCTCTTTGCGGCCTCTTCTGGACTCACTCCAGCAGCTCCATGTCCTTCCTGTGCTGAGGGCCCTGGAGCTGGACACAGCCCTTCAGGTGGGGTCTCACGAGGGCAGAGCAGAGGGGGAGAATCACCTCCCTCGACCTGCTGGTCACACTTTTTGTGCTGCAGGCCGGGACATAACTGACTTTCTAGGCTGTAGGCTCACATCAACGGGTCGTGTTGAGTTTCTCATCCACCAACACCCCCAAGACCTTCTCATCCACCAACACCCCCAAGACCTTCTCATCCACCAACACCCCCAAGACCTTCTCCTCAGGGCTGCTCTTGGCCTATTCTCCTCCCAGGCTGTACATGTGCTTGGGATTGCCCCGACCCAGGTTTAGGACCTTGCACTTGGCCTTGTACTTCATAAGGTTCTATTTGTCTAACTCAGAAGCATCAGGAACTCTCAAGTTATCCAGAAGCTCCTCAGCCAAACGTCTCAACTCCAGAGCCACGAAAAGCAGAGGTTCCCTCTTAGCTGTGCTGCAGGGCCACCCATGACCTAAGACACGTGGCTGTGGATTTCAGATTTTCCAGCAGGGACAGCAGCTAACACCTCTTTCTCCATCTTGCAAACAGACCAAGGAAAATAACACTTTAAATTTATGAGAAACAAATGGCTTTTCCTGGCCGCCTTCACTTCCTGTATGAGGCCGTATGAACCACACATGTTTAGCACTGACAGGACCATGCATTAAAGCAAAAGCCATTCCAAATTGAAATGTGGAAAATTAGATGATTGATCCACAACATTCTAGTTTAGTGGCTGCACCATATAGATATGGCTTCTACCACAGGCCATACTGAGCTGCCTGTCTGTCCTCCCCTAAGGAAGAACTTAAAATTTTATTCCAGCTATAAAAAACAGACTCTAACATTCAAAACCCCAATAAAACTAATGAAATAAAATTTTATTTATGGTGGAGGGGTTGGACCTAAACGATCTTTAAGGTCCCTTCCAACCCAAGCCTTTCTATGAATCTGTGATTTATTTTGCAGCACAAGGATTCTTTAAATGCTTGCCCTTGACAACACTGACACATCTTCAAATGCTTATTCGGTTTCTATTCCTTGTTATTTATTTCTAGTCCATGTGATAAACATGCCCAGAAGACACACTATGCATCCTGGAGGGCTTAGCAATTTATTGCAGGGAGTTTACTATATGGCTTACCACGGTTTTAAAATAAATACAGTATAATACAGCCACCGCCTCTGAAATGAACTTACAGCTAGATATTGTGGCGTGAGTCCTCCAAGACCTGTGAGGTTTCCCCAAGTGGCAGTATTGAGCTGTTGCATCTGCTGAGCCAACTGCTGCTGCAAACGCCGCTGCTCCTTGTCCTTTTGGGTGTCGGCAAACTTCACCACGATTGGCGAAGAGCAGCCCTGTGGTCAGACAGATCGGGAAAGACAGGAGGGTTAAATCACACCGAGTCACCCTCACACCCTGAGCTCAGCCATGTCCTGTAGGGCCACTGGAAATGGCACGACCAGGTTGCTCACCCTCTCTTTGTGACTGGCATTTGTGGGACCGCAAGGACTAAGATTTTCAGGTTCTTAGGAAAAGAGGCCGTGGAGAAATTATTGATTCCCCGGTTCTTTTTACAAAGCTCCTTTCCTCAGGCTCTCTTTTCCTTCCAGCTATCAAAATCGCTGCCAGAGACAGCAAAGTGTACCAGTCCTCTTTAATTAAGCTTCACAGCTGATGAGATGGACGCAATGCTTTGTCTGCAGTCTGTTTTCAAGGCATTGCCAAAGGGAGAGGTGTCCAACCTCCCCGCTGCCAGGGACCACACAGCCAACACTGCCCTGCCACCATGGTCTGGCTGTGCAGTCACACTCAGTGCAGCTGGGCTTGTGTGCCCTACGCTGGCTTGTGTTCCCTACGTAAGTAGACTGTGAGCAGCAGACTGACTGCATCACCCATCATCAGCAAGCCACTGATCCTTCTCGTGTCAAGGACCCCCAGTCAGTTCACCCACCTGTGGTCCGCTCCCAGGCACGCTTTGTATCAAGCACCCTTGAGATGTGAACAAAGGGCAGGATGCAGACCAAAAGTGACTAGTTCTGGTGATAGCAGCCCATTCCTGATGGCCACCATTTCTTCTATTGCTTCTATCAGCCTCTTGTTACATGATATGGGAGGGCTGCAAGACGCCTTAGGAAATAGGGAAGCTGTAAGAAAGAACTAGAGATCTGGTCTGCAGCCTACGCCTCACCCATGTCTGAGGGACTGTAGGGAAGAAGTAGGAGGTCAAAGACCAGATGGACTTTTGAGGTAAGCTGGAACTTCCCTTGGACTTCAAATTATGCATTCCTGGGCAAAGTCACTGAGAGAACGAGATGTGATTATGAAAGATGTCTTTGTTGATTTCTCTCTGTTTCTTTTCCATGCTAAGAAATGTTTCATGTTTTAACCTTTCAAGTCTTCATTTTTTTCAAATCAAGGAAGCAAACTATATACCGCAATGATTCAGTTCTTCAAATTAATTCAAGCATTTTATGAGTCATAGAAACTGTCAATCCATTTCATACTGCTTTTCAACTTCACAGGATCCAATGAATAACTTCCCTCCACCCGCCATGCTTTGTTACACTAATTTCTTGTCTAACTTCAATCTGAACACAATGGTAGGAGTGATAAGTGACTCAAGTCCAAAAAACACAGCAGTGCTTTAGCCAAAGTGTATAGCGTGGGATGCCGAGCAGGGTTATACTTTTAACCTAATTCTTTCTGTGGCTGCTCTCACAACACTGTGAACATCTTCAGCAAAAATCCTGTCCTTGATTATTTACAAAAAGCAGCCATGTACCTTTTCCTCTGAAAAACCTCACACCAGGACAAGTGATAAAAATATTCACAATCATCAGGTGAAATGATGAAATAAACCACAATAATAACATCTCTTGTATGAAGATACCTCACCAACACCATTCCTTTAGAATTATCCTGGAAAATCATCACTTGTGATTTATTATTCCACCTCCAATTCCTTTCCTGTGTGTTTCATTGTAAAAAGGTCTTTCAGTGTTTCAGTGAAGGAGAAAGGAGATACATAACACTCCAGCAATCAAATAAAGATCATGGAGGAGTTGGCTTGTTACACGATTACCTCTCTCTACTGATTTTTATACTAATATTAAAAATAAGATTATTAAAAAAAAAAAGAAAAAAAAAAGAGCTGGGGCGTGGAGGGTATGAGAGAGATTTTTTGGGTTTTTCTAATAAAAAAAGCAAGCTGTTTCTATTTATTACAAGGTTTGGTAACACTGGGCTAAGAACAACCAGAACTTACTGCCTTCTACTTAAATGTACAGGAGAATCAAGTCTATTTCCAAAGAATTAGAAATGAGTATCAAAGGAAGAAATATTATATGGCTATTTCAGTTTTCAGTTCAGCAGCTCAGCACTCAACACTACAGCTGACATATTTATGAATGCTTAAATGTCAGTAAATTGTATAAAAACAATATCTCTGCAATTTATGAATCTATAATTCGTTTTTTCACTGTCTGCTCTATATTTCATCACTTCATCATTTTCAAGAAAGCAAACATTCTGAAGACTGAAATTATATCTAGCAAGTGGCTCTATATGACAAAAGGGTTGTTATTGTTGTATCAAATTTACTCCATGATAACAAATTAGTGTCTTCTACTGACGCTGCATTCGAATGCCTTAAAACAAACAAAAAACCTCCATAGAAATGAGATAGAAGAGCAAGCACTTTAGAGCAGCAATTATATTTTTTAAATCACTTGATTTATCCAGGTCAGTAAGTCAGGTGGAAAGAGCAGTAAGAGAATGTATTATTATATAAGACGTGTTCATCTGGACTTAACATCCCCATTGTTCTTCCTTAGCCCACTTTGAAAATTCATCTTGGTCAATGATCCGTGCTAAAGAACTGAAAATAATGAAATCTGAAAAAAAAACCCCAACCTGTGGCAATTGGGTTGAAATGCAATTGTGTACTATACGTGGTCCCCTAAGCCCACTTCTGTTTGCAAAAGGACATGAAACAGAAGTGTCCAAGGATGACTGTTTCAGGCTGAGAATTGACATTTAACATTAGTCAACTTAAGTTAACTTTTTACTAGAGGAATCTTGGCAAAAGTCAGTAATTTATTTTTTTTTTTGCCTAAAGGGTGATTTATGTTTTATGCACTTCCATTTTCTATCTTGAGAGGAGGTTTCCAGCACATACACGAGGTGCATTTCCCTTCCTCTTTCAATGGCGTGGTATCTCCATACCATTTAGCGCCATTTTCTTCCCAACAACTTGTGCTGCCTTCATCTTTTCCTGTGTCTTGTCAGGGCAGTAGGTACAGCCTCCAAGGAGTCCCTCCCCCATGGAGAGGGAGGGTGTATGGTTTCTTTCCAAGAAGGGACTCCCAGCCTAAGCTCAACTGACACAAAGACCCAGATGTTCAAAGTGCAAAATATTTGGAATTGCCTTGCCTATACGGAGATCTCAGTGATGACGTCTCTAAAGGTGTTGAGAGGTATTTTGGTCCAATAGTCTATAGAATTGATCCAAGATTCTACAGAACTAATGACTCTAGGATTATCCCATCAAAACCCAGCCTCTTTTGGAGTGCTGCATACAACAGAGGAATGGGAGAATTTGTCTGGGAGGTGTTATGTCTTTAATTTTACCGTCTTCTGAAGTAGAGCTGTGTAAAATTCATTTTGCTAGACAGAAAAATACATTAAAACACATGGAAAATATAGGTAAAACACAGTATTACCAATAAACATTTCCTTTTTACTTGGAATCAAACCCATCAAAACATATATATCTGAATTAAAGGAGCAGTGCATGGCAGACAAATTACTACAGGTATTATTTTGAGACTCAAAGTGGCATTTTGTTCACAATATACTACCAGACTGCATAGACTGTATAACAGCAGCTTTCTAGTAAATATAATGTCAATTATTCTCATCTCATTGGTAGATTCTCATCTAAAACTGTATACCCAGGGTCTAAAAATGCATTGCACTGAAAAGAAAACACATCGATTATAAAAGAAGCTCAACCAAATTCAAACGTGATGTTTGGAAAGACAATAGCTTTGCAATGCTGATATCATTACTTGTACTATACAGGAAACAGTTAGTGACAGTTTCATGCACTAGCTGGAATTTTATCTTCTCCTTCTCGTCCTCTGTCCACCCTCCCACCCCTGGTCTCCCGCCTTGGCTCGTTACACAAAGCAGCTCAACGACATGACGCAATAATGATTGTTTAGCACCCAGCATGCTTTGGGAGACTAGAGCATTGCAAAGGAAAATCACTGAGAGAGAAAGAAAAAAAAAATAAAAATTGAAAGGTCCTGGTGGAAAAAGAAATAAAAAGGAAAAAAAAAAAAAAAGAAACAAGTGCACATAACATCAATGCCACCTCTGAGAAAAATCATCACTACACGAAGATACAGTATACATAATACAGTATAACATGCACTCTCCAATGATAAGCTAGAAGATCCAGAGTAAGTAAAGATTTCATACTTGTGCGGTTTTTTGTGCAAAATTCTGAAAGACCATGACAAAAATCACAGACTGAAAAAAGTTTTGAGATTGCCAGACAAGCCGTGGCATTCGATAACCACTCCAATGACCGGATCGTTAGCCCGCAGCTACAGTCACATTAAGTGAACAAGTTTAAAGTTTTGAGCTGCTCATCATGATAAAATCCGAGGCCATAGAGGCAGTTTGGAAGGGAATAAAGAGTGCTGCTTGCAAGGGGCCAGGCACAACGGTGCTCTGCAGGAAGTGCCACACTTCAACATGCTCTGTCATCATTAGCATTTTTATTGGCTACATGAAGAAGGTGAAATTATATTAAGTTAAAAAGAGATTCTATTTGCAGAAAAACACATGCACTAGTAACTCAGCGTGGCCATGTTAAATCTCTTGAGTTTTTTTCTCAGAGCAGTGCAAATCACAACACTTAGAAATCTATTTAAATGAAACTAAGATTTTTCTTTGGGGGGGTATGTGTGCTAAAAATAGAGATAATTTCCTCATCAGATATACTCGGAGTACAACTGAGGAGTGGTATTCACAGCTTTTTACTTTCTGCTGAATGCCACTGAAAACAGGATTGAGAGCCGTGTCTGGATACCACACAGCCACCTTATTGTGCGCTTTCAGGTGATTAAGAAAAATAAAGCTTCACAAAGACAAGCAGAGTGAGCTGGTAAAAAATTTAAATCTGTGATTGTCATGTGTCTGATCTGATCCAGGAGAGCATGGCTTTACCATTCGCAATCATTTGCACAAAGAAAACAAAGAAAGGGCAAATGATACAGTACTGTACCTCCATGGTCTGAGACTGGTGCATGGCTTTGATTGCATTCTGTGCCATTGCCCTTGTAGAAAATGTGACAAACGCACAGCCTGTGGGAACAAGGGGACAGGGAGCAGGAAAGACAAAAAACAACAAGACAAAAGGGTTGGACGCTTGTTAAACCAACACAGTCTACGAGAACGGCCACAAGACGACACTGTTCTCAGTAGTACATAAAAATAAACAACTTCTCTAGTTTATTTATCGACAGTGCTGACTTGCTAATCTGACCATAGATGAAAGAAAAAAAATTAGGTGGGGACGGGTGATGTGAAAGGTTTTTGTTTGGTTTTTTGTTTGGTTTTTTTGTTTTGTTTTTGTTTCAATGTTGTTTTGTTTTGTTTCTGTTTTTGTTCTTTAGCCACAGGGTTTGAAATAAGTAAGGCTTTTACGTAGCCTTTGGATTGCATAGTTAAGTCTATTCAGACCATGCATTAACAATTGCTTGCTCTGGCTTTCGTGCAGGTAAACTGTGAATAAATGACTGGCATCACCGACAGCTGAATTGGGAATTTAATAAAGGGGTCCATAACATCACACATTACTGTGATGCACCAAGAATGATCATACAAATTAGAATGTGAAAAACTACACTGTTTAGCCTGTGACTATGTGTGAAAAGACTCAGACAAAATTCAGTAATGTAGGTGGAATCTCAACATTTAAGAAAATAACATACTAAAAATAAAAATCTTTACTATTTTTGTTTCTCCGAGTCCTAGGTACAAGTGTAATAATTCTAAAGTTACTGCCAACTTGAACAATTATGAAGCTATGTGCATGAATACCTGAAAAATCACTTCTTTTTTTTCCTCCTCAGCCTTTTAAATAAAATGAAAAGCCAGTAGGCTAATGCTTGGGCTATTTTTCCACCCTTTTACTACTGTCAGCCATACCTACACTGGGCATGCACTTTTTAGTGCATGACTCACTGCCCTTTTGGCTAATAAAAACATTGCCTCCTGAGATTTACATTTTATTCTTCATGCACCCTTGGGCATCTTAAAGAAAAAGACTGTGAAATTAATGCAGATTCAGGCTGATTTTGTAATAATACCATGGCACACTAAAAGCTTAGCTAAAGCAACACAGACTTATTTCACTTGTGATCTCTAATGACTTTAAAAGTGCATTGATTTTCAGCTCCCTTAGCCTTGCACAGTTTGAACTTAGGTTTCAGAGAATAATTTAGTGTTCCACTCAATTTCCTCAAAACATTATTATTATTACTACTTAAAAGATTTCCAAATGAAGCAGATCTAAGCACTGAGAGGCTAAAGCATATTGTCATTTGAGAGCTAATGCATGAAAGCTACATTCTGGCATCAAAAATACAATATTGCTGCCCCTGTGGCCAATGGGCAAAATAAACTATTTTGCAATCCAACAAGCAACAGATTGTTTGGTTTATGCAAATCAATTTGAGGCATAAAATACCTTTTCTTTTTAGCTCTGTGTGTACCTGGTAAGATTATCAAGTCAAGACTGTATTCACATTTTAATCAAACAACAGTAAGAGAAAGCAATGCCTGATCATTACCCAAAAGCACTACATCTAGTCATGAAAATAAAGTCAATGCATTTTTGCATCATGCGGTATTTATTTTTCCTCTTTAAAGTAAAGGCCCTTGATCAAAGAGAACCTAAACTGTCTTATGCACCTCTGGCTGATAGGTGAGCATCATAAAATCAGAAGTCATAATTCTTTTACCCAAACTTCATGTATTTCTTAGGTAACAAAACAGCTGATGATGTCTTACTACTGTTTAGCCACACTACATGTCGCTATACTGACCCCGTTCAGAAACAAATTTCTATCACAGAATACGATGAAACAAACCAGCTTTCTGTACAGCAATCTAGACAAAATGCAGTGCAGTAGAAAGGTAAATAAACTACAGTACCTCTGCTTAGATTCCATATTGCTGCTGTGCACTAAAATTAAAGAGGCCCAAATTTACCATCAGTCTCAAAGTAATCTCTCTTAATACCATTTCTGTTATTACCATTAACAGAGGAAATAACACCAAGGGTTTTCATTTCTCATCTTGCAAATTCAGTGGGGGATGAGCACAAATAGAGATATACTGGAGGGCAGGCAAGGAACCCCATACAGAGCCTTGAATAATATTGTTGATAATGGTCAAGAAAGGGCTTCACACGCTTCTTTGGCTCTCATTATCCAGGAGTGTGTACCATAGTGACAATTACTGAATGGAGGTTTCGAATGCATAAGAAGCATGTAAAAAGTCAACAAAAATCAATAAGACACAGTTTATGCATTTATCACAATTTCTCCCCAGCAGTTCTGCTGTAAGTAACTTACTGAGAGATGTTGCAATTAGCAGGTCTCAAAAGAAATGTGAATCAGCAGAGAAACAAGGCTGCATTCCTCTCAAGATAAAGCAGACTCTCCCTCCCCTCCCTTAAGCTTTTTCTCTTTTTAACCACAGAGCTCAGCTGTTGGGGACTTTCAGTGCCCAACACCACTGCAAAGCCTTCCTCCTCACTCCTCAGCCCAAAATCATTTGCATGGGTCCCGCTGCCTTTGTCATGGAGCAAAAAGACCTTCGCAGCAGATTTCTGTACCAATTTGAAAGAAACTTGTTCTGTGGGCAAGGGGAATGCCTGATGAATGAGGTTATGCAGCTTGAATATGAGCATTTGGAAACAGCATTCCACAGAGAGGATGGGGCTGCATTTTAATTAGGGTTTGCCAGCCAGAGGCTACAAGGTTAGGTCCCCTTGTTATCTCCAGTCAGCAGGCCATTTCCCACCAATGGACAGTGGCCATTTGCACATTAAATACCCAATTTACCTCAATAATCATGGCAAAAATTCAGTAGACAAAGTTATTTCTAAATTATTTGAAAACCCGGACTTTCAGTGGTTGCCATCAAGCCCCTCAAGTAAACTCTAGCTATATTTCCATTTAACCATCTTTCCAGACATTGCTACATGTATTCACATTCAAGGGTTATTTTTCAGCTACCAAACCTGGACACTCACACACAAAATTTGTATATTTATTATGTGTATATATACATTATGTTATGCATGAAGTATGGGATGCTGTACATTTTCTTACGTGCAAAGTATGGAGTCCTTTCCTTTATAACCAGACTGCCACATCCAAGGAGAGGTAAGCCTATATCATAGGATATGTCTACTTAACCCTAGCACCTTACTTGCATTTGTAACTCAAGTGGTCAGAAAAGCTGCTCTGGGATCCTTGTATTCTCTGCCATGGTCAATGGCAGGACCAGATCTTCCTCTATGGGGTACATATGCATTCGAGGAGGATGGTTTTGATGAGCACCTAGAATTTAATCAGAAGTCGAGGTCCAAGGAAACTGGATTTCATTTGTTTATGTTTCTAAAGGGCTGGGAAAAAGCCCTTTCCAGCATACTCTCACTCACTCTATCGCATGGACACAGGTGGTCTTTTGGGAACACACTGCCGGCTCTAGGACCGTAAATCACAATTACAAGAGGACAAGACTAATCAGATTTCATGCCTCGTGGTGCAAGGAAACAAGAAAGATTTTCGTGGTTTCTTACCTCATCCTATGAAACATGGCATTGATTGGCGTGCCATGGGCTGAGGCCTTCCGGACCAAGAGCTACAAGGAAACTATTTCTGTTCTACCACACTGAGTCCCAATACTTCAATTATTCCCTTCTCACTGGAGCTATAGAGCTCTCTGGGAGAAAAAATGTGGAGAGGGGGATATTTCTATAGCTAAAGCCTTGAACTGACTTCATTTTGTACCACCAGCTACCTAGCCACACCAAAAACTATATTCTTATTCAGTCATCCTGCAAGTCATCTTGCACTTACTTTTCAGCTCTGGTTTCAAAATGTCAGGGATCAGTGACAGAAGCAAAAGAGGAGGGAGAAAGGAGGTCTAAGAGTTTTAGCTGCTTCTCCAAAGCTGCCCTCTCACCCCCTACACCAGGAAAACAGTTGACTGGGGAAAGGCTGCTGGAAGTAATTTCCTCCTGCAGGTGGAATTGGAGGCAGGCACCCAGCCCTGTCATGGGAGATGTGTTTTGGAGCACATTATCACATCTGCCATCTCGGTTGAGAGAACAACTAAACTCTCACGATTGCTCCTTACCCCCCTCCCACCACAAACTGAAAAAGAAATTTGAATCATGTGTGAAATCTGATAAGCCTCCTCCTCGATCCGTGCAATCCCAAACCTAAGGCCTGCTGCTTGGGTGATTGTATATTTGAAATATTTAAAAAAGATCAGCTCTGCCCCATTTCAGCCCCTGCTGCATGTGATTCTTCTCATCTCAAGCTTTCCTAGACTGTTGTGAAATGTTCAGTCAGCAGTTCATGCACAGTCTAACACAACACCAATACCTGCAAGCTGCAAGTGAAGTAGAACATTTTTAAGTATGGAAGCCTCAGGTATGGTTCATACCTACACAAGAAACTCATACAACTACTGTGGTCTACTAGAGGCTTTAAAGCCCTCAGTGAAGGCAAAAGGAGAAGCAAAACCCGTAGACATTGTTTGGAACTTTAAAAAGCATGGTTTTAAAGTGCTGGAGATGAAAGAATGGCAGGTGTAAACAATTAAAAAAAAAGGAAGAATATATACATATATATACAGTGACCATTCTGACACAGAAAAAGACTCAAGAGATTTTCAAACACCTGAGCAATCAGAGTGCTGTGTGTGCTGGCTGTGCAGTTGGTGCTGGAATGGTTGCACCACAGCTTCCCAGTTCACCACAAACCAAGTTTTTCTTCAATTTCTGTGAAGAAACAATAGTGAAAAGCTGCCAAATACTCCTCCAAAGAGTATTTGGGATCCTCTGAGATGAAAGCCTCTATTTAAAGAAAAGATAAGGCTTGAATAAAAAGCTATGGAAATTGAAATGTGACAAAAATAAGCTCTAGTTGGGTTAAAATATTTCTAGCTGAGATTGCAAAGTAGACTTTCCTTTTCTACAGTCTGCTAATACAAACCAATCTGAAGCCTGGCAAACAGCTTTCTAATGAAGACATCATACAAAAATTTGTCTTAGTGTTTAA